TTTCAACGTTATTTTAATGTTAGTTCAACGTTAAAAAATAAAAAGTTGAATATTCAACGTTGATTCAACGTTTATTGTTAACTAAAAACAAACGTTGAGTTAACGTTGAAAAATAAACGTTGTATTAACCTTGAAAAATAAACGTTAAATTAAGGTTGAATTTAGGTTAAAATTTAGATGAGAGTTCGCTAATGCAAATGTACTAATAATTTGGGAAATTAATAAAACTTAATATTTCACATATGTTAGTGCATGGGATAGTTGTTTAAATACTTTTAATAAATGTGTTAATGTAACAAAAGTGAAAACATTAAAAGATTTTTTTGCAAATAAAATATATATAATTTTACAAAAATTTATAAAAAATTTTATATATATAGTTTTTTAAAAGTCTTTTTACATTGTCTACAATACCTTACATTGCATTTTTTATATAAAAATGGTGGATTAAAAATGAATTTTTAAATCATTCAAAGACTTACAAGTATTTATAAGAGCAGTATTAAAGACCATTTAATCTTTATCAAACCTTATGTAAAGTAATAATTGTATTCTTTTTGTTAGGGATTGGTATAATATGATCAGGTAAAGTAAAAACATATATAGACTGGATTGCATGCGTTAATATTACTCCAAAGCAGGTTAATATTTTCATTTTATCGTTGTTTCATTTTAACTCATTTTCAAATATATCTACTTTGTTTTGTCATGTGCATATAATGCTAATCCAGAGATAGGAGCCAGTCAGTGAAGATCTTAAGAACAAAAAGATTTTTTTAAATGTATCGTTAATGTCGAGCTGTTCAACTGTAATGTAGTTTAAATAAAATAAAACACATTCTAGTTATATAATGCATATGTCATTATATAAACACTTGCAGTAAGCAACCCGTAATACGGGTTGCTTACTGCTAGTGTTTTTAGTAGTTGGAAAATAAATTATTAATAGTACGGGTTATTAGTACAATAAATCATTATTATCAATTTATTGTTTTCTCCAATGAAATGTAAATTTGTTTTATATATTTTTAGTTGCGCTCACTTTTATCGTTCTCGGCTTTTAAACAGCTTCATTTAAAGATACAATTAACCATTTATTTTGAAATGTTCGAAAATTTTGCGCTAATCACAACAAACTAAATATATTATGACTTGAATTATATGCATAGAAGATTATCTATGTCATATTTTAAAATTGCGGAAAATTGTTTAGGTAACTAAGTTGTTTATAATTCTTTTTTACGAAAAGAATTTTTCTTAACTATTATCAAAGTGATGATTGAAAAGCTTAAAAAATAAATATCACAAAAATTATACTTAAATTTATATGTATTTAAACTGTTTTAGATATCCAGAAAGGCAATAACTTAAAAAATATTTCAGAAATTACGGAAAGGCTAATCACTGTATACGGCGCCCATAATATTAATGCTTATTACTTGATCTTTCTTTTTTTATTTGATAATCTAGCAGAAAATAAAAAAATACGGTAAGCGAATATATCTATTTACTTCATAGTTAACGTATATCAACATATACTTATTTCAGCATTCATCCCATCCAAATTTATACTAATGCGTAAATATTTAGCGAAAATCGGGAATATATTTTGCCTTGAGTTTGTCCTACCTTTTTATTATTTTATATTATATTTGTATAGGTCAGGTGAAATAAAAACAATTGCTTTTATTCGACATTTTTGAAGTAATTAATACGCTTTACGTGAATACAAATTTTTAACTTAGCTGAATCAACTTAGTTGACTTACTTAACTTACGTGAATAGAAACTTTTAACCTACCTACCCAACATTTTATGATTTTTTTTTTAATTTAGTGTCTCTTTTCTTATATAATTGCCCCACTGCCCTTCCATCTCATAATCGCCATTTGCAGACCCCCTCTACCCCTCAAAGTATTTTATGGACAATGCCTAATAAGCTAAAAAGGTTATAAAACAGATGTTAAAACCATATAAAACAGTTGTAAAAATATATATATATGTTTTTAAACTTGTGTTCACTTTTTAAAAAATCGGTAAAAAAGCAAGTCATACGTTTACATATCTTTATAACAAATTTAATTACATGATATATAGTTAAATATGAAACAAAAATATTTAAAAAAAAACCTATATAAAACACATTTTTCTTAAAAAAAAATTAACGTTGAAGGCACTTTTCAAAATCAGTTATGTCAGCTGCCATCTACAGGACTGAGGAGCCAAGCATAGCCTATTGTACAGAAAACCATATTAAAATAACTAAAAATATTTTTTTCTTATAGCGATGAGGATTAAATATATAATATTTAAAAAATTACGCGATTTCATATTAGTAGGAAGTTATAGTATAGTAAACAATTGAAAAATAAAAAAATAGAGAACAGATTTTTAAAAATTAAAAACTACTTGATTTTGTGAGCATTTTAGCAAGGGTGTTATATTTGGAAACAAATATCTTTAATGAAAACCCAACTCGTTTAACTAATCTCATTCAAAAAGTTAGTAATTACACTAAAGATTAAAAAAAAAAAAATGAATGCGAGGTATAAACAACTGTGCTACAGTAATATTAAATGTTTTCTCGGCTTTTAGTGAATAATTAAAAGTAGTCAGTGAAACTACCTGTAATCATTTTTAACGATAGGCACCAACGGGAAGGTAAGCCAAGCTGTCTATCAACACAAAAGATTACAACAATATCACCACAATTACGCAAAAGCAATAGCAAACAGCTTAAGATATTTTCAGGATCACATTATACTAAATAATAACAGACATGTGACTTATATATAACTTTAAGATATATGACTTATTAAGTTAATTAAAAGATATATAAATAATTAAGATATATAACTATAAAAAGCTAGACAACAGACATTAAATATATAACAGTAACACCTTTTGGCACTAAATATTGTCTCATACCTCTGCTAACTACACCGCTTAGCTGGCAAAGTTGGGAAACTTGCTTTACGCTACTTTATTATTTTTTTTTTTTTTAGATATTTAGTTATAAAAAATTGCCAGCTAGCATAACAGTCTAGCTCTACACACACTGCAAGTCACGACACTAGCTTAGCTAGTTTAACGGCCTAGCTCTACACACACTGTAAGACACAACACTTGCTTGGCTAGTTTAACGACCTAGCTCTACATATTTGGCTATAGATTATAACACTAAGAATTCTTTAAAAGGCAGTTATAACAGTAGGCAAACTAACAAAAACTTGTTTAATGTCAAAAGAAGTTTAATATTAAGAAAATTAAGTATATTTGTTAATAAAACATTTTTGAAAATCATTTATTAAATCATTCAAAAGCTAAGCTATTTTGTTAATGCAACTTTTGGAATATTACATGGAATTTTTGGAACAAACAATGTTTAAATAAAAAAAGTACAATTGATAAATAAATATAATAACTAAAATACATTACATACTTCATACAGCTTGTGCTAGCAAACTATAAACATTTGGAAGTGAAAAACCTAAAGACTATAAATTAAGAACATTAGAAAATATAACATTATTTGTGTAACATTTTTCACTGACCATCCCTTAAATGGAATGATTATCAATTTTGAAAAAAAAAATTAAATGCTCTAGTTCTTGAACAGGCAACATATAGTTGCCCATAAGAGAAACACAGTTTTTTTAGGTACACACCAACTCTGTCAAATGTTTGACCTTGAATTTTATTATTTGTCATTGAATAAGCCAATCTAACGGGAAATTGATGACGTTTCAGAACAAAAGGTAAATTAGAATCTGATGGAGCCAAATGAATTCAAGGAATAAATACCCGTTTACCACCAGAAACAACTGTCAAAACCTCTGCATCAATATAATAATTTTGAAGAGCGCAAACTTTAATTCCAGCGCCATTGCATAACCCAGCTTTGAGATCTAGATTTTTAAGTGGCATAATTACACACCCAATTTAAGATTTTAAACAATGAGGAGGCATACCAGAAGGAGTCAAGCTGTTCAAAAACTCAGCAGGAAAATTATTTCTTTCATTTAGATCATTAGTTTCTATTTAATCAGCACTAAAATATATTTTGACCTCACCCGGTAGACATTCAAGCACTTCTTCATTAATTGATAATGAATCAACATTAGTGAGTGTTAAAATCACACGTTTAAAATAATCATTTTGTTCAACATCTCCAAAAATCTTATCAACAATAGAGTCATTTTCTCTAATAATGCACTGATAAGGTATTTCAATGCATCCTTTAAAAGGATCCTCTTCTTTGACAGGGATTGTTCCACTACCAAGTTTTAATAGCCATTAGGAAAACTCTCCTTCCCCATCATGTACTTTCATATTTTCAGTTAATGCAAACTTCTGCACCCTTTGCCACTGTAAAGAACATTTTATACATGATTCTACAATTTCAGCCGGTTGTCCTCTTTTCACAACAGACAGTATTTGCCTAAAGTCACCACCAAAAAGAATGACTTTTCCTCCAAACGCAAAGTTGTTGTTCCAGACATCTTTTAACAACCTATCAATCGCATTCAAAGCATGTTTAGGTATCATGGATGTTTCATTAAGCAAAAACAAATTTACTTGTTTAAAAAAATGTTCGTGTTTAAAGTTAGGAGTTACATTACATGTGCTGTTATCCAATATGGGGACAGGAAGTTTGAATAAGCCATGCAATGTAGATCCATTTGTAAGAAGAGTTGCTGCAATGCCAGTCCATGCAGCTGTAGCAGACTTAAATCCTCTACTTATGGTTTCTGCATTCAAATAATTATAAGTAAAAATTTTTCCACTACCAGCTGGTCCATCCATAAAAAACAGTCTGGAATGTCGATTTTCTAGACTTGGTTGCTCATTTAGTGCAGCAAGGATAGCATTACATACCTCTAATTGATTGACATTAAGTAACGGTCTCATTCTATTGGCTTCGTCAATATATTGTTGAATATTTTCATCAAAATTTTCTAGATTAAAACCCAATAAGTCATCAATAGCAGGCAGATTGTAATCAGCCAGTGTTCTACCACTTTGACTAATGATCTTTTCAATTTGACGAAGGGTAGCTTGTTCAGATCTGTATTTAGTAAGGGTAGCTATTAGAAGTGGGACTGAGCGGTGAATGAAATCTTCCATCATAAAAGCTTTGTATGTGTTCGAGAGATGTAAAGGAATTTCAGGTTCACAAAAGGTCAAAATAATTGAAAACAACTGTCTAATTTGCTTTGGCATATGCGTTAAAACTGCCTCAAAAAGAGTATTCTGCCATTCAGTGTCATCTTGCAACAAATCTTTTAAAACACATGCTTCACAAAACGTTTCAAGGACAATATCATTAACAGTACGCACAACCTCCCAAGATATTGCTCTTTTTGCCTTCAAAAGTAACAGTCTCAGAAAAAATAATTCTCCAGTCGGATTAACTTTATGCATTCTTACTATCATATTATTACCACCCCTTTGTCTAACCTTCCATTTACAAAGTTTATCATCAACAACAAAGTGATAAGGAATGTGAACAAATGAATAACGACGGGCTTCTTTATTTACGGAATGTAATTTAAACCATGCCGAAAGATGTGTATTGCGTTGAGCAGCACGATCTAAAGCCGCTTCTTCTGCTCTTTCTTTAAAATACACTAACTGATTGTCAGGAAGATGAACTTTAAGGCGGATTATAGTTTGTGACATTTGACTATTGGGATACTCAAATATTCTTTACAATGCTTCAGGCGCACTAACATAACGACAATCTAAAAAAGCGTTTACTTCATCATGATTAATTTGTTCATTTATTACAACAGTTGCGCAGTCATGCCCCTTGTATAATTACTTGTGCAAATATTTAACAGCCTTTACAGACATGCAAGCTTCAACATTAATATGCGCTTGATATTTCATTGATAACCATGGATTGTAAGGTACAACCCAACGGTTATCAATATTGTTACCTTTAATATTGATAACCAAGCCATTGTCACGACGACTGTAACGTGGATAACCATCATGAACTGCTACTGTGTTGGCATTAAATTCTTTAGGATAGTTTTTGCTAAATACACAATTTTTCACGCAGGAAAAATTTGGATTAAATATACCACATGGACCACGAATCATGCAAGTTTTAACAATGTCACAAAGTTGAGGATTTACAATGAGATCTGAAATTTTATTCAGATAATACATTATTGATATCCTGTGCTGTCTCAAGCTTATCATCATTTGCAAAATGAAGTAATATACGAACATGTGGCAAACCACGCTTTTAAAATTCAATAACCTGAACATGGGTGACAACTTTTTTTTTTTTTTTTTATTTGCATTCACTCCCAACAAGGCTGCAAGCAACCACTATTAAGTTGGGAGTTACTAGGAAAAAAAAGAACAGAGTTATAGAGCAAGGAAACGGTTGACAGAAGACTTGAAAAGTTGAAGGTTGTATGAGTCAGGAAAACATGAAGATGGGAGAGAGTTCCAAAGGATTGAAGTGCGGGAAAAAAAACTAGATGAATAAAAGTTTTTAGAGCATGCAGGGACAGGTACAGTAAACGAATGAGACTTAGCTGAATGACGAATAAAACAAGAATGAATTTTATTTGAAGGAACTAGAGATGATAACTCCTTTGAGCAGTGACCATGATAGTATCTGTAGAAAAGAGAAAGAGATGCAACTTTACGACAATGGCAAAGAGGTTCAAGCTTAGCAGATAGTCCAGGTCCAACAACATTTACAATGCGTTTTTGGACCTTGTCAAGAAGAGAAAGTGAATCGTTAGAAAAACCAGCCCAAATATGACATATCTAAAGCTTTCGACAAAGTTTGGCATGCTGGTCTTCTCCATAAGCTTGCTTCATATGGTGTTTCTGGGAAAGTTTTTGAGACATATTCCATACAGGGACGAATAAGATATTTGTAGAGGTAGAGAATGGAATCAGAAGTAAGGAAATGGCGAGCACGATAAAGAGAAGCAACCTTAGCAGAAGCTAATTTAGCAATCGATTGTATATATGGTTTTCATTAAAGGTCAGTAGTAAGCGATAATCCAAGAAGACGTAAAGAGGAGGACTCAGTAAGAGGATTGCCATTCATTAATATAGGAATGTTGACCATATTACGGTTTTTTTAGAGTTGAAATTCACAAGCCACTGTGAACCCCAATCTATTACTGAAGAGAGATCAGATTCAAGATCAGCTGCTTGTTCTAGGCGATCGAAAAGAGAAGACTTTTTGTCAAGACAGGAGTATAAAGTTGAGTCATCAGCAAAAAGAGCTACTTTAGATGAAAGGTTGTCAGGAAGATTGTTTATGTAGATAAGAAACAAAACAGGGCCCAGAATGGAACCTTGGGGAACCCCAGAAGTTACTGGATTACTGGAAATAAAGAAGAGTGTTGGCCTTCAAGGATGACTTTAATAAACCGGTCAGAAAGAAATGATTTGATAATCTCAAAAACTTTCCCAGAAACACCATATGAAGCAAGCTTATGGAGAAGACCAGCATGCCAAACTTTGTCGAAAGCTTTAGATATGTCGAGAGCAATAGCCCTAGCCTCGCCGCCTCCATCTAATGCACGATAAAATCTTTCAGTTACAGCAGTTAGCAAGTCGGCCGTAGAGCGTGAGGATCGAAAACCGTATTGATTGTCTGATAGCTTTTTTTTTTTTTTTAAACCGTATTGATTGTCTGACAGAAAACCGTATTGATTGTCTGACAGCTTTATTTTTTTTAACTACAATTAACTATATACATATAACAACAATTAACTATATACATATAACTGACAACTTTCCCTATAACACCATGTTTAAAAATATCATTTAGGAGGTTATTTAATTTGAGTGTAATTATTCGAGTAATTAAGTCAGGTCTATCATTAGCAGTCTGATCTGGATATAAATTTTCAATTATCTCGCGCCATTTTGGATTGCAAGTTAAAGTAATAAAAAGGTCTTGTTTACCATACTTTTTAATTATAGCCATAGCACCTTCAAAGTTTTCTTTTAAAATTCGAGGACTTCCTACATAAGATGATGGTAAAACCACTACACGCCCTGGTCTAACATTATGATTAGTTCCAAAGTTGTTTACATGTTCATTTAAGGCATCATACTGCTCGCTTCTCAGTTTGTTTTGGTTATTTCTGATAAAAGCAAGGCGCTGGCCTACAACTTTGACATATGCATCAACAGCATATTACTGAAACAGTTTCTTGTCATGAAAGATTGAAGAAAAAAATTGTCTAACTGAGAGTCTATAATTGTAATACTGAGATAGATTAACGTGATTTCTAACCAATGTAGCATGTTCAGAGTTGTGAACCAATTGATTATGCCAACCAGCATCACCTCTGGGGAAAAACAGAGGGTAAATCATAGGATATAAGTTTACAGACATACTTGATATAGTTTTAAGAGGATGACCTCTTGGGTATATAACTACTTCTCTGGAAGCAGGTGGAGCACCATCTTCACCAACAAATACAATTGCAACTTCATTATGCGAAGAGAGATTATCGCGACGTCTATCTTGCCCTTTTAGTGAAGACATTTTTACAACTGAGACTAAGCGACCTTCTAGAGCTGCTAGACGGATTCTTTGTTTTCTATTTCAGCCATGTTTTTAAATGCAAGAGCAAATGGATTCTCTTCACTTATTATTGTTTGCAAATAAAATATTAAATCACGTAGACAAAGATAATTGCCACGTTGTTGCATTCTAAAGTTCACTGCTGCCAGCGGGTCATAGATATACAACTGACAGTATTTTGGAGGAGTGTCTTGATGTGGCCGAAGATTACCTATACGATGAAAAACTTGACCACATATTCTAAAACATGGTGACCCATGATTTATAGGCACAACTACATTCACTGTAAATGAAGCAAAAGAAAAAAAGGCATTATAATTCCTAATATATTAAAAAAAATCATATTGGAATTACGATCTATATAACTCCCTGTAAATAAATCTTGTAAAGTTTGCGGAAATGGTGAAAGAGGCGGTAAAACTACCTTTCCATTATAGCAACATAGAAAATGGTTTTCATGGGGAAATTTTTTAGCACCACAATGTTGACAGATTTGGTTCATTTCTCCAAAAAAATTAGTTTCTGGAATGATATTAGTTCTTGCTATACAATGCATTCTTCCTTGTCTTGCAGCATTTTGTACGTTATTCTCATTAGGGTTCAAATGAATTTCATTTTGCCTAGCTCTATTGCTCTCGTTTTGACGACGATTAATTTCATCTCGTCTAGCTCTATTTCTCTTATTTTGACAACAATTTAATTCATCTTGCCTAGCTCTATTGCTCTCGTTTTGACGACGATTAACTTCATCTCGTCTAGCTCTATTTCTCTTATTTTGACAACAATTTAATTCATCTTGCTTAGCTCTTTTTCTCTCATTTTGACGGCGATTAACTTCATCTCGCCTAGCTCTATTTCTTTCATTTTGACGATGGTTGATTTCATTCCGTCTAGCTCTATTTCTTTCATTTTGACGACGATTGATTTCATCCTGTCTCGCTCTATTTCTCTCATTTTCATTACAATTATTAGTGCTTACACTAATGACTTCAAGCCCAATACCATCAATTTCAATTATATCACTATTTTTATAAATCACTGTTATTTTAATTTAAAATAATTTATAAAAACAAAAATAAATTATATAATTAGAGACAAATTTAAATTATAGTTAGAAAATTTCTATGAACATATTTGTAAAGAAATAAAAAAAGAATAATAATGATAATATTTAATCTTCTAAATAAAATTAAAAATAACAAAAGCCTACAATTCTAATAACGAAGAAGTAATGATAATATTAAGTATTAAAAAAACACAAATTTGAATTTTATTTTTAATCTTATTATTCCATAAAACAAAAATAATTTAATTTAAAGGTGCTATAAAATCAATAGAAATGTAAAGCAATGTATTTCAAATGCAATTACTTTAAAATATATATATATATATATATATATATATATATATATATATATATATATATATATATATATATATATATATATATATATATATATATATATATATATATATATATATATATATATATATATATATATATATATATATATATACATTATAACACAACAATTACGCAAAGCAATAGCAAACAGCCTAAGATAGTAGCTGGATCAGATTATTCATATTCAAATACCTTTTTAAGGAGAAGCATAACACTTTAAACTAAGAAAAATAGAAAAACAAAATCTTTTTTTTTAACAGAATAATCTTTTTTTTTTAACAACAACTTCCAATAAAAGTTTTTTCATTTTTTCTGTTACTTTTTCTAAAAGGAAATATAGCTATTAGTACAGAGAAGTATAAAATATACTGAAATGTAAATGTATAACAGTCTGAGATTTTTTATGTTAAATACTTAAACGAAGTTCCAACTAAAATTAAAATTGATTTGTAAACTTACCCAAATCAATATCAGTTTGAAATTTTTAAAAAACGTTGTTATTATTAACCCTACTAATAACAAAAACAACAATAAAGTGTATTGAAGTAACTAAAAAGCACAAAAAAGCACATTAGACACAAAGTTTTAGTTAAAAAAAGCATGTTTATCTGATCTCAATAACAACCAAATAAAAAGTGAAGAAAATTAAAGTTTAATAAAAATCAAGATATGCTTTCATAAAAATTTGTATATTAAATA